AGGCCTCGGGGCGGAGGGAAGAAGAAGAAGCGACTGCAGACTCCTTCGAAGGACGATCCGCCGAAGAAGGTCGTTAAGGAAGATCCCAACAAGAAGCTCAAGCGGGACAATCGGATCCCAGAGAAGGAGTGGAAGCTCATCGCCGATGCGGCCAAGAAGGTGCAGGGCGCTCGCCGGTGCCACTACTTCAACTCCTCGCTCGGGTGCGTGTCTGGCGACAACTGTCGTTTCAAGCACCTGTGCATGGTCTGTGGGGAGCCGCATGCCATGATCAGCAACCACTGATCGGTTCCCAGCGAATCTGATAGTGCTCCTCACCTTACCTTGTCCGGCGCGCGTGGGGGCTGTGATCTGGAATCCCGCGCACAAGATCTCCTGAAAAAGCGAGCTCCGCTTCTGCGTGAGGAGATCCTCGACTTGGCTACAGAGCTCCCTGTTCAGGGTCAGCATAAGGCTGCCGACGAACGAGGCGGGGCTTTCTTCGCGGGAGCCTATCGCCATGGAGGCATCACAAGACTGCGATCGTCCTGTCACTCATGGCCGTGGTCGATCAAGGCGATCACCACGTACATCGCTCAACAGGCTCCTGAGGCGCTCTTCACGTCATTCGCCGTCCTCTACGATCAGGAGGCCGAACCTCACCGTGACTCGGGCAATGAGCCGATCCCGAACATTGTCTTCAAGCTCGGGTCGTTCGAAGGAGGCGGGCTCTGGATCGAAGACCCGCTGGGGCCCGATGTGAGAGAAATCGAGGGACGCTCCATCCCCGGTTTCCTCACCGACTTCGTCGACAATAAGATCCTCTTCAACGCTAAGGAAGCTCTGCACGCGACTCTGCCCTGGATCGGAACTCGGGTGGTCCTCGCCGTGTACTCAGTGCAGGGGGTCGATCGGATCCCTGCCGACGAGTTCGAACAACTCCTTCAGTTGGGCTTCAAGCCGGCGCCGGTGAACACAGGTGATCACGTGGATCAGTCCTGGCAAACTCTCACTTTTGCGCTCGAGATCCCGGACTCCGATCGGAAGCGGCCCCATGGCGCCCCGGTCAAAGCCGCGGAGCATCGTCAACGATCGGCCGGCAAGAAGGCTGTCGCCGCGGGTTACCAGATGAAGAAGTCTGTCGTGGCTCCGCTGATCGGCACGGAGATGCACCCGGGTGAAGCGATCGCTTTCGCCTTGGAAGCTACGCACCCGTTCACAAAGGACGCGGATATCGACCCAGACCTCCTTGATGTTCTGGAGCAAATTGTTCGTGATCCTCCTCAAGTGCGCGATCGTCGAGCCTCTCTTCTGCAGCATTGGGAACGGCGAGCTCAGGATCTGCTCCCGTCCTCTGACTCCTTGCTCAAGCAGATACCAGATCGGCATTTGCGCCGTCTTCTTCGCGGCGGCCCAGACGATCGTCCACTGGAAATGGGTCAGTTCTTCCACGTCGCCCTTTGGCGGGAGCTCATGAATGAGGCCAAATGCAGTGACACTGACCTGGTAGATCAGATCATGGCAGGCATGCCGATCGTCGGCGATATTGCCTGCTGCCAAGGATGGAAGCCCGATCGCAAACCTCATGCGGAGCATCTCTCGGTTGATGCCCTTCGCTCGAGGGCCTGGGATTTTCGATCGAAGGTGTTAGGCGCGATTCGGAAATCTCCGATCACCGAGCACTCTCCCAAGGTCTGGGAAGGGACCATGGAAGATGTTCGAGAAGGGTCGGCGATCGGTCCCTTCTTCGACGAGGCCGAAGTCTCGGAGGTCGTCGGCGATGATCGTTGGATCCCTACTCAGCGCTTTGAAGTGGTTCAAAAGAACAAAGTCAGGGGAGTTGACAGTGCTACCTCAAATGGGATCAACATGGCGACGATCGTCACCGAGAAACTCGAACTCCCCTCGACGGACGCGAACGTGGCGGTGATCAAGTGGCTGCGCTCGCGGCTGCCGAAGTCCCCGCTACGTGGTTGGGTCCTGGACGAGCGGCGAGCCTATCGGCAGGTGCCGATCTCTCCGGCCCATCGCAAGTGGAGTGTGGTCGCTCTGAAGGATCCGGCCACGGGAAAGGTGGCGTTCTTCGTGATGGTCGGCCACTCCTTCGGCTTGGTCTCGGCCGTCTATAACTACAACCGCCGCTCGGCTGCGATTACCGACATTCTAAGGCGCGTGTTCATCGTGGCCGGCTTCAACTTCTATGACGACAAGTACGGCTTCGAGCCGGAGGCCACGGCAGATAGTGCGTTCGCGCTGGCCGAAAAGGTCCATTGGTGGCTCGGGGCCCGGTTCGATCAGCAGAAGCTCCAGCTCTGCTCGGATCCCACGATCCTGGGCGTGACCTATGACCTCGATCAGTACTTGCTCAAGATCAAGAAGTCCAGGAAGCAGGAGCTCTTCGACGAGATCTCGTCGATCCTGGAACACGAAGAGATGTCTCCCGGCCAAGCCGGGAAGCTCAGAGGAAAGCTGATGTTCGGCGCTTCGCAGCTCTGGGGGAAGATCGGCCGAGCCTTCCTGAGATCTCTGTCGGAGAGGCAATACTCCCGGAAGACGGTCAGTACGAGCCTATCGCCTGCTCTCCTCTACTCCCTCTACAAGTGGCGGACGCTCGTGATGCATGGGCCTCCGAGGCCTATCCCCAGTTCGGGGCCGCGGAAGTCCGACGTGGTGATTTTCACGGATGGATCGGCGCCGAGCTCGAACCCCAAGGATCCCTCTTCTGAGATGATTGGAGGAGTGATGTTCACTAGGGACGATCAGCCTAGGCAATTCGCCTCGGGGGTGTCACGGCAGATCATGTCGAGGTGGTTCCCCCGGAAAACCCAAATTTGCATGATCGAACTTTTGGCCGCGGTCGCTGCGATACAGACTTTCAGGGAAGAGATCCGTGGAAAGCTGGTCCTCCTCTTTATCGATTCCGAGCCTGTAGAGGCAGCTTTGATCAAAGGCTACTCTGCAAAAGAGGACGTCTGCGAGCTCGTAGGAATTTTCTGGGAGCTTGTTCTGGAGCTTAGGTGCTCTGTTTATATCGATCGGGTACCGACCGATTCGAACCCGGCGGATAATCCCTCTCGTGGTGATGTCGCTACAGGTCTGATGTGTGGTTGGATCACTGTCCTCTCGGACTTTCCGAAAGGAGTTTGAGGGCCTGGGAATATCGCTTGTCTGATGTGTCCGATCGGATGATGTTGCGGTCTGTGGCGAATGCCATGGCGCACCCCTCGGCGATCGGGGGTCCGATCGGACTTGTGAAGATCAAGTGAAATTTTGATGATCCGACTGTGGCCGACTCCCACGTTGCGGTCGCATGAAAAAGGTGCGATCGCCGATAGTCTGTTCAGTGAGGGCACCGAACGTCTGCGATCGTAGTAACTGGTCTCCTAATTATCGGTCTGGTGGGTAGGAATTAGGAGATCAGTTTCGCGATCGTTGGAACAGACTTGATCTATCTTCTCCGTGGCCATTTTGGCGATAGCCGATCGGGCCATACCGAAAAATCCCACCCTCTCCACCCTATCTGTTCTTTTCGGTATGCGGGATCCTCGCAACGACGTTGGCCTTCAAGCGCTCGCTTTCGGCGACACAGATCAGCTCTGCCGTCCCTGCGTGGATTGCGGCCTGTTCACCGGCTGCTTCTGCGACGGGGACGGCCAAGACGAATGTTACGCAGCCGTTCGGGTCCCCCGCGAAGAGTGGGCCCCCAACCAGCGCACTCCTTTGTGCACGGCTTGCGATCGTCGCCTGGATATGTGTCATTTCTGCCGAAAGACCCCCTGGGTCACGCCGCCGGCTCATCGTGATCGCGATCGTCACCAGCCGGCCGGCTACGATCACGGGGCAGATCCTCCCCTCAACTGGGATCAGGTGATGGGCGTGCCCTCTGTTCAGCGGCCGGTGCCCAAAGCGCCCCCGGCCCGAGCTCATCGAAACAGAGGCATGGATCAGCCGGTCTACTATGTGGATCCCAAGGCTGGTCTGCCGCGCCAAGGCCGAGCGGCTCCGAAAGGGCGTTCTCCTTTGTTCGCCGAGCCTGCTCAGTACATAGTTCCAGGGCAGCCCCCCAGATCGCTCGACACGGTGCCCGATGATGTCCGCATCAGCGGACCGGCTCACTATGTCATTCCGGGGCAGCCCCCGCGGCGGCTAGATCAGCTCCCGCCCGGTACGCAGCTCCCTCCCGGCACCGAGATCATGGTGTCTACGAGGAGCTCGAGTCCGCCGACCAAGGCGCCCCCGACTCCCGCCCAGATCGCGGCGTACCAGGCTTCTCGCGCTACTCCCGCTCGGACGAGAGCCAAAGCTGCTCCTGATGCAGCTTTTCGTGCCGCCGAGCGGCAGTTGATTGACTTGCTCGGCGCGGCCCCCCTCGACGATGATCCAATCGAGGAGCCGTCGCCGGAGCCCGATGATCCGATCGAAGACTTTTAATTTTGTTCGCGGGGAATATCGCTTGTCTGATGTGTCCGATCGGATGATGTTGCGGTCTGTGGCGAATGCCATGGCGCACCCCTCGGCGATCGGGGGTCCGATCGGACTTGTGAAGATCAAGTGAAATTTTGATGATCCGACTGTGGCCGACTCCCACGTTGCGGTCGCATGAAAAAGGTGCGATCGCCGATAGTCTGTTCAGTGAGGGCACCGAACGTCTGCGATCGTAGTAACTGATATATATATATATATATATATATATATATATATATATTGTAGTATAATGTAATACGAGTAAAAATAATGTAACCTCATGTAATATAATGTAGCATAATGTAATGTAATGCAATATAATGTAATATAGTGAAAGTAATGTAAATAATGTAATATAACGTAATATACTTTAATGTAATGTACTGTAGTATGATGTAATGCAATGCAGTATAATGTAATGTAATCTATGCATGTATGCCTTATGTATGTATGTTTGCATGTATTATTCATGGATGCTTGGTTATGTCCATGTATGGTTCATACGAAAGGATTCTGTCATAGTTGAGCTCTTACTGTACCAGTAGTTGGCTGCTCAGGCGTATCCGAGACCTTCGGAAGACTCGCGAGAGCTGATGCGATATCCATGTGACTTGGCAACTGAAGCGCCACGCTACCCTAAACCCTGAAAACCCCTAAACTCCTAAACCCAGACTTTCGAGTTTTAGTCTGGCATGGGATGGCTCAGGTGAGGATGGCTTCGAGGTGGTAACTTCAGCTTTGTTCAGGATGCTGGCGCGCATTGCGGACAACACCACAGGAGTGCCGTGTAAGCTTTCTTGTCCAGTGGTGCTGCTTCTGTGAGCTTCTTTGTTGCGTAACGGCCTCGCGCCTGCCCGTCGGAAGGACAGGGGCCCAGCACTCCGTGCACTCCATGCCTGGACGGAAGCTCGCGAGATTCGCGCAGCCCCACAGCGGAAGAGAGTTCCACCAAGGAAAGTTTCGTAGTCCTTTTTCCAGGGATGGCTGTCGGCTGTCGGTGCCCTGTGCTTGGGCTGCATGCAACGAAGGCCCCAGATGCACTGCCTGCCCAGCGGGAACGCAAGCGACATCGCAAGGCCAGTCGGAGTGCAAGGCACCTCGGACAGCAGATCTCCGGTCTCTGCTCCCAATCGTACAAGGCACGCTTGTAATACTCTTGTGGGAGTTTCCGAAAATAGGGCATACCTTATTTGGGGGTCCTTATAATAAGGATCCTACTAATTAGTTCACGATATTAGGGTCCCCTATTTTCGGAAACTCCCTTGTAGGTACATTCAGCTCCTGTGACCGCACAGTCATTGCATGCAACCTTGAGCCTTTCGTACATACGGCCGGTTTGTGCAAGAATGCAGTGTTTGTGGCACACGTATATTACTGGCAATTCCGGCATGTCCCGAAATTATCGATTTGACTGGCAAGACAGGAGATTGGATGCTAAGGATTTGCAGGTCTTCCCACACGAAGTTCAGAACGTTTGGCTGGGACTACAGAACAACCTCAGTCCGAGAAGTATCGGTGAACCGGAGTAGTTCCAAGTAGGAAGCTGTAAAACCTGGGCAAAGAGCCGCGAACCAAAAGCCCCTCCTAAACAGAAAAATCACCAGAGGGGCCAAGAGGATGAACTGAGCTGTGTTAGGATGCGACTGCACCGATTGAGAAACAGCTCGGGCCGAGCCGTCTGTGTGTTTTTGCGGGAGTCACAGACTTAGGGTGTAGGACCTGGGTTTAGCATCTTTGATCCAGATCTTACATATCTGAGGATTGCCTGCAGGGAGCTGTTTGCGATCCTGCAAACAGCACATTGGTAGTTGACACTCGGCTGCAAGACGTGAGAAGACGCCTCAGCTCTGAGCGAAGGGAAGGTTCTTACACATTCTTGGAGTTGCCGCCTGCGCCATTCGGCTCGGAGCTCTTCGGTAGAATGAGCGCGTCCTTCGTTTCACGTGAGTGCTATGCGAGTGGTTTGACAAACAGGCCCAGACGTTCATCGGGTTTAGGGTTGCTGTTCCTGTTTTGCAGCTTTCGACGAACCCGCCACCGCTGGCAGGCACCCGACTGCATTGTTTCTATGAATGAAGGCGGCCGTGGTTTGTGTGCGATGCTCTGTCTGTGCCGGGAGGGAAGCCTTTTCAGAGGTGACGCCGCTGCCTCGACGGGAGCGACCGCAGCTGTGCCAGAAAGCCCAGAGGGCCCCGGCCCGGAGGAGGATTCCGAGCCTCGCAGTCCCAGCAAGGGACTGCGGGGGGCGGCTCTCGCCGTCGCTGTCGCCTCGGCGGCCTTCCTTGTCGCTGGGCATCGACTTGGTGTGCTCACTTTTTCCCAGCTTTTGCCGAAGATCTGGGTCCGACTCCGAGCTGAAGCTGAGGTTTGGGCTTTAGCTTCCGAGAGGCTCTGCCCTCGGAGGGTTCGAGTTGTGGGATGTGCGCAATGGCCCCCGTGCTCTGTGAGGTGGCACTGCTTTCATGTCGAAGTGCCCCCTGCTGAAGTCTACGAGATGCCAGGGGCTCAGCCGAATCCAAGAGCTCAGGGAGTCCAGGACTCACGCGGGGCCCAGGTTCAAGGCAATGGTGGCAATATTGCCAGCCACTGGCCACCGAGCATCTTGTCCAGACACGAGACGGCGATTTTTGAACTCGCGACTCGCGGCCACCGCACTGCCACACTGCACTAAGACGAACTTCAGCCCGGCCTTGCAACGGAAGTTGGAGCGGTCAACGGAGCCTCACGTGGCGGCTTGGTGAAATGTATAAATGTAGCAGCTCCCTGACACCGTCGCTTCGAAAAGCTCATGGCTGAGGCTTTCGAGCTCCAAGCTGGCCTCTGGTCCGCTTCCGCAAATTCCCTTTGCAAGCCGCACGATGCCATTTTTTCCGTCTTCGTCGATGCTGAGATGTGCAAGGTGCACGCAGCATCAATGTCCACGTCCATTGTGCACCCTCCTTCGGCAGCAGACTCATGGCACCCGGCATGCCGAGGCAAAGCTTCTGCACTTTTGCGACGACATCTTGGAAGGTTCCAAGAATGATCCAATCGCCTTGAATATTTATGAGAACTGCCGCAAGTCGGTCCGTGGGGGTGGCGTTTCTTTGAGCGCTCGCCTTAGTTGCAGAATACAAGAGGAGTACGGAAGCATCATGATGCATCATGCCACCACGCTACACATTCGACAGAGTACAGGAGGCACTGGCTTTGCAAGCCAGGTCAGCTGACCTTGTGACCGAGGCTTTATCCGCGAACCGCCCGCCAAAAACGAGTTTGAGATTGTAAACGAGACTTGGGCGCATGAGCGTGCCGCGTGTGTGTGGTAGCTTGCTCGTTGTACAAGCATGCAGTCAAAGGAGTATACGACGATGGATGGATTGGAATCGGAGTTAGGGCAGGACGAACAAGATCACGATCCGGATCTTTGCAGCTCAGAAAGTTAAGATCGGACCGTTTTACTGGGACTGGCATGCGGTGTTCCCACATCTGAGGTGACACACTCGCGAACTGTGACACCCTCGTCTGGGCCTCCGACCCCGGAGCTGTAGCGTCTTCGTGTTTCAGGGTCTCGGACCTTTGAGGAAGCTATGCGACCTTGGAACCTGTTGCTCATCGCGGTGATGATGCTCACGGTGCTGGAGATGGTGACTGCAGCAGTCTTCTTTGCATGGGCTCTTTTTGCAAAAGACGCTCGTCTGCCAGTACAGTGCAAGAATATCGGTCTGTATGTATATATAATATATATAATATATATATATATATATACATATATAAATAAATATATATATATATATATAAATATATATATATATATATATATATATATATATATATATATATATATATATATATATATATATATATATTTGCGTTCTAAATTCGCGTGTGGGTGGAGTTATTTAAATTGACATTAATGCATTGAGGGGGTATCTTTTTTGCTCTTCGCTATGAGGCGGCACGCAAGTAGAGCCACATATTACCGAAGTTGGCGCTAGGAAAACCGCTAGATTCGCGCTAGGCAGGAATCGAACCGCATGATGTCGTATGCTCAAGGTTTTACCAAAGCGCCCCAAACCCGCAGGATCCGTAATGAAAACCTAAAGCCATGCATCTTCAAAACCCGAAGATTTCCGGAGCTGAACAGCACTCGTTGTTGTCGTAACAAGAGTACTCGTAGGTGTCTTCAGGAGTTCTCTGCCTCGCTGCCTTTGTGCCGCCTCATCCGAGCTTGCAGCGAGGTCATTTTTCAGGCATTTGTAAGAGAGGCCAGTGCGCTAGATCCGCGCTAGGTGGGCGCTAGCAAAAATTCAACGCAACCTGCCTTGGAAGACCCGGGCCCATTCAAGCTCGTCGGATTGCAGTTGCCGGGCGCCTCCATTCCGACTTACAGCGTAACTTTCGAGTAACTTTCGCGTATAAGATACAAGGGGCCTGGTTCGCACTCAGGACAAATAGGGTTGTTGAGCCACCGTGGATTCCACGGTGTTTGTAACAGCCACCCTGCTTTCCACGGGGGTCAGAGGTCAAGGGCAAGCAACACGTTACTGTCGAACCCGCGCCATGCTCGCAAGCAGCAGGAGCGGGACATCTTGCATTCAGCCGCAGCGACAGTTCTTCGGACAGCAGCTGCTGAAAAGCCTGCGCGCTAGTACCCTTCTTAAGAATCCACGCATGCATTCCCAAACTCCTGCGTTTGCTGGTATGTATCTGTAAGCCAGGTTTTTTTTTGCCACATGAAGCGGCACGCAACTACAGCCACATTAACGTCAGTTTCGGGAATAAGCATTTTGACAACAACCATATATATATATATATATATACATACATATATATATATACATATAAATATAAATATATATATATATATATATATATATATATATATATATATATCTATATATACCCATATATATACACACCTATATATATATATATATATATATATATATATATATACACATATATATATAGGGCTTCGGTGCGTGAGCTTTGGCAAAAACGGCGTCCTTACAGAGTTCTTCTTTTTACTATGCTTAACTAAGCCATTAAGGCCTCATCATGTTGTTTTTGGGGTGCCGATCCACAGAATGTCAGTGTCAGTGGATGTCACTCATGACAGGCAGGAGAGGATATTCTCACAAAGAGGGGCTGCAACGTCATGTTCCTCGCTGCCCTGAGCCTCGCGGCTGTCATCGGCCTCGATATTTACATAGGCTGGGGTCTGCGATCTGCAGTCACAAGGCGGGCTTGCAATCCATGAATTCATGCCGGCGAGGTGAGAAGTACCCACTTGAAGACATCATTCGAGTGGAGGAGCTCCACTTGAGCTGTCTTATGCTGTCTGCAACACCGGTTCAGGGTTTGGGGTTTAAGGTTCCTTTAAGGCCTATAAATGGCTCCTGAACCTCAGCTTTGGCAGGACTTGTACTACTTCATGCTGCCCGATGGTTCCAGCCCGCAGGGCTACTCCAGTCTCTTGGAGCAGGAGGCACCAGATCATGGAATCCCAAGCTATGCCGTTTCTCAAGTTTGCCATGAGATCCCCAAACCCCGAAATCCTTAAACCTTCCACGCAAAGCTTGAACAGTATCTGTTTTTGTTTCACATTCTCTCAAACTCGTAGCCGGGATGAACCTAGGCTCTGGCTGTTAGAACTTCAAGTCATCCCATCTCCACACATAGGTTTCGCCTCCAACCGGCTTCGCACCACGAACCTCGCCTGTCATGTCCGAAAAAATCCGAACAACTGAGCCCGAAACCCTTAAACCCCTAATCCCTGAAACCCCTAAACCCTTAATCCCCAAAGCAGGTTAGCCCCTACATAACCCCTGACACCCTCAAACCCTAAAGCCCTTTAGCCCCTAAATTACTGTTTCCGAAACTAGGGGACCCTAATAGAAGCACCCTAGATAGTAGGATCTGATGATAAGGACCCCAACATAAGGTACCCCTAATTTTCGGAAACTCCCAAACCCTAAACTTCCCTAAACCCTAAATCCTATAGCCCCCTTAGAGCAACCCTAGAAGGAACCCTTATAGATCCCTCTAGAGGAGCCCCTAAATCCCCGAAAGGACTGGAGCCCTCCAGAGCCGACGTTGCCACAGCTCTCCAAGCGCTCGCAGAAGCATTGGGGCCTCCTCGAGTTGGACCCAGGCGCCCGGGTTTAGAGTGTTTGGGTTTAGGGGTTTTGGGGTTTAGGGTTTAGGGTTTAGGGTTTAGGGTTAGGGTGTGCGGGGTTTAGGGGTTCAGGGGTGCAAGGGTTTGAGGGTGTAGGGTTGTCTGGAGTCTGGGCTGTTCAGAGGCGCAAGCCAGAGTGAGAGTCCACTGTGCTGTTTGAGTGATTTTCATAATATGGAGTCGACTGTTGGGTGCACCAGCGATCGCGAGGACGGCCAAGTCCGCCGCTTCTCAGCAGCACGGTTGCTTCCGCCTCGGAAAGCAGCACGGTGAGTAGAGAGAAACGAGGTCCTCGATGATGGAACTGGAGGATGTGATCGGCCAGGCCCCTCAGAACACAATCTAGATCCGTGCCTGACGACAAGACCTATCACGAGTTTGCTTGTCTGTGACCGTGTGTTTTCTGCATTCACACCTTGGTACTGTGACGTTGTGCGCCACAGTGTGTGTGTGTGTGTGTGTGCGTGCGCGCGCGTGGCATTTTGGGGTTCTTGTTTCATGATCTGCGCCAGGCATACAACAGCTCTCGATCCACTGAGCTCCAGATGGTCACCATGAAGCCCTTGATGGAGATACCGCCCACGAAGTGGAAGGGAGCACTTGCTGTCCTCGGTGCCTAGTCTGGCGTCTCTCTTTAAAATTCTCCTTTG